TATTATGTGATTAAATTATAATTTATATATTATATATTTATATAATTGTGAAATTAAATTCAAATATGCTTTGCTTACAATGTTCTCCTTTTCTTGTTTCTGTGATTGGATAATTATAGGATACAGTAGGGAATGTTTACATTGCTTTCACAAAATGCTTTACACTGTGTGACTGCTTTTGTCCTGATGTAAAATTCATTTTTTATGAAATTATAGGATATGATCAGTTTGCTTAAGTAGTTATTTTCCCTAAGATATTTGGAAAACCTATGCAAATGAGGACAATAAAATCCTATACAGTATTGCTTTCTCAATATGTTTTGTTTTGTATTGCAGAAAATGTTTAAAGAACATTCAGTGCAAAGTTGCTAATGATTACTCTTTACAGGCTTCAGCATTTCAAAAATCCAAAATATTTAGGAGAATCTAATCTATTAACTCCTTATACTGTTACAGGCATTTCATTTTCATTCCAGTATGTTTAACTCTTTTTTCTCCCCCATCTCAGTTTATAGAGTGCACTCAGTGGTCTGCAGTTTGACACTGTTTGATGATCCCAAATTGCAGAACCTTTCAAACTTCTCTAGGTTTAGCTTTTGAAGGTACCAGACATTGCTTAAGTGAAGAGACCAGCAGCAACACGTTTCAGTCAATGTTTCAGTGAACTCTGAAGAATTCCACCGGACAGAGGAAGTCATCGTCCATGAAGAAAACCCATTGCCACTATGCAGTAAAGTCTGAAATCCAAAGCTATATTATTCTTTATTTCCAGTACAGTTTCTAGGTAAAATAATTTCATATTTTACAATATTAGATATTGTAAACACAATACAAAACACAATTACAAAACACCTTTGTGTTTTAAATATTGCAGCCTATGGCCAAACTGAGATAGCAGAAGCTTTCTTATGAACTCTTAGAAGTACCGATATAAGCAAAGTTCCAGCACATCCTTGTTCTGACCTTAATCTCTACTTTTGCCTCTGCAGAAAATGCCAGTCTTGAATGCTGATAATATCATACCAGCGTATAACAGCATTTCAATCATTAGTTACAACATAAGGTTCATCTGGTATTTTTAATATATCATTGTAATTTTTATTCAAAAAATGTTCTGTTCACACTATTTCTACAGGAAATAAATTGGACATACAGAAAAAATTAAATTAAAATAACCTAATTTTCCCTCCTTTAGATATTGATGAATATCAGAATTATCGCTATTAGTAAACTGACTAAATTTATATGGGATTATGTATTCAGATGGTTCATTATTTTTAAGTCAAAGGACAGTTTTCTAGCACTTTATTACAAAGGGCTTGGAAGAAAGCTATACCTTGCTGCAGCCTCTTCAGGTGGAGGAAAGAGAAAAAAACTGTTTGCAGACTCCCATTGCTCATAACATACTCACCTTCAACAGACAGACATTCACCACTGCCTTTTCAAGCAATTATGATGTCTCAGTATCATTTATGGTGGACAAAGCATGGAACATCCTTAAACCATATTTATCTTTTTCAAAACCATTCTTGCTAGTTGCTCTATTGGAAGATCCCTTGAATATATGCCAGGGAACTAACTGTGTCACTATTTTTGCCCTTGTTATTCTTTGTTCTGCATTATACAGTAGAAGTTAAATTGCAAAAATGACACCAGTGAAAGACAATCTGAAGAACAGAGAATGAATAGTGCCAAGTAAATCTCAGTTCTTTTAAGTATAACCATCTACAAGAAAGGAACTAATGGTGCAAGAAGATTTCTGAATTTACTGCGTATGTACATATATGTGTGTGTGTGTTCGTGTGTGTGTGAACAAGAAAAGAAATTAAGATAGCAGCAACTTTCTACTCTGCAAGTTTCCAAAATGGGTTATTTCAGTAGTCTCATGCTAGTCAACAGTGGCCTTCAGGGGTTTGCTGTCCTGACATACTTGACATCATCTGTTTATATTCAGGTAGGCTACTACCTAACTTGCAAAAGCATTTCCTCTCTAAAATATGGTTCTACAAAATTCATCATCACAAGTTGGTCTTATTATTAGGTATCTAAAAAAATAAATCATGATTTTTTATCCGTCCATCTGAGATCCACCATCCCCTAGACACCTTGACTTTGTGGAAGTCAGAAGAGAAGTCCTTTACTCTTGAAATATAAGGAGGATGAGAGAGAGAGTTCAGTTCAAAGGCCAGGACTGATTTAAGGCGGAAGAGGTGATGCCAACCACTTACAGCTTAGCTCAGTGACTGCAATGCTCATCTGCAAGGTAGGACATCTCTTTTTATCTGTCTCAGACCCAGCCTCAAAGTGACACTTGTTATACTTGCAAGCAATAGGTTAGATGGGATTAAAACATTTTCAACCCCTTTTCTGAGGCAGAGGAACCAGGAGCACAGAAAACAAGAGACGAACAAATGAGAATCTGACTGTGTAGGGCACAATTAACAAACCTCCAGCAACTCACATATTTGCTTCTTTCATTGAGTTGACTACTGCCGAAAAATGAAGATATTCCTCAGGGAAACCATTGTCAAGAGCTTAAGCCAATATACTGAATTGTATGTTGGGAAAGGGGAAAGTTACATAACAGACATGCACCCTCTGCACCAGATTTGCCCTCCAGCAGGGCAATGAGGCAGATAGTGCTAAAACCTTAATGCCACTGCAAGATTCTGGAAGATAGTCATCAGAGCCCATAGCAGCAGAAAAAGATATAAAGGGAAGGCTGATACAGCTGAAGGACATCCAGAAGAGAAAACAGCTTTTCACATAGGGTGGTAAATATTCTGTCACTAGGCCCACACAAATGTGCGACTTTAGAGGAATCCCATAACAGGAATTACGGATGTCTGATATTCAAAGAAATAGCTTTAGCGGACTGAATGAATACAATAAAAATCACAACTATGGACTTACATTCCTGACACCAAGTCATTGCCTGATTTCTCTTCATTTATGCCGTCTGTTGTTTGCTCACCCAAGGAAAATATGTGCAGAATAGCTGTTTGCCATGCAACAAGGATGTTTCCAGGAGAACATAGATATTCACTACATAGTCAACAAATCTTTTCCCCAGCACATGAAGTCATCAGCCATTTAAGAAGCAGAAGTGATTTATGATTTTTATGAATGTCAATACCATTCTTGATATCAGT